CCCCGCCCCCTTGCCCCTGCTTGTGCTTTTGGCTGGCCCCTTTCCCCGGGTCTCGACCGTGCTTTGTCCCGCTGTTCTGCCTGCCGCTCTCCTTTCCCTTCCCTTCCGGGGGCCCCCTCTGACTGGCTGGTGCTTTTCCCCCCCCCCTTCCTCGCCATCTCGCCTCGCCCTGCCCTGGCCGGTGCCCCCTTGGCTTTGGACGTGCGACGGCCATGGCATGCCGCGCGCCTCCGCAGCAGGACGAGGGCATCACCACCATCCTCCCGGGCAAGTCGTCGGCCTTCCACTTCCAGCAGGGCCAGGACCTGAACCTGTCCCTGCGCCAGTCGATCGAGCTGATGGACGGATTCCGGCGCTGGTCGGCCGGCTTCTCGGCCAACAATGTCGGCGAGTCCTTCGTGCGGATCTTCTCGCCGCAGGGGCAGGTGTCGGTTGTGCGGGTGGACGTGTCCCTCGAAGGGGCGGTTCTCTTTGTGCGGGTGTTCCCCTTCCGCAGTGAGGCCCCCTTCCGTTTGGTGAATCTCTCCTCGTACCACATGGCCCTGGTGCAGGGGGAGTGCGCCTCGGCCACCGGGGTGGCCGCCGAGCCGGACACCGGCTACCGCATGGAGAGCTACCTGACCGACAGCAACCCCGTGGCCGGGCACTACTTCGCCGCGGCCTCGCAGGTGGTTCCCTTCCTGTGGGACACCCCGCTGTCGGAGAAGCGCCTGGTCAAGCTGTATGCCGGCGACGCGGTGAATGCCCTGCGCTCGACCATGTACTCGCCGGAGTGCGCCATCCCGCCGGCGTCGCTGCCGTTGGATTTGCGTGTCATCGGCCGGCGCAAGCCGGTTCCCATCACGGTGACCAGTCGCGAGTCCGGGGCCCAGACGCGGCGCTATGTCCTGGTCACCGTGGACATCAAGTCCACGGCCACCGTGGTGACCATCCGTGATCAGTGCGTGCCTGTGGCTGTGGGTCGCCCTCTCCACGCTCCAATGGCCCCGGCGGCGACATGGCTGTCTGCTGCCTTCCCCTTGTGCCGGCGTGTACTGACATGTTCCTCCTTCGCCTTCCCTCTCTCTCTCTCTCTCTCTCTCTCGCGTTTTTTCCCCCCTCCCCCCCCGGGTGTATTTGCCTGTGTCTGGCACACCTCCCTCCCGCCCGCCCGCCCGCCCGCCCGCCCGATCACCTTCTCCCCTTGCAGTGACGTCCGGCCGGCGCGGGCCAAGATCATGGCCCCGATTGCGGCCCTCCGCCCGCGCGGGGTGCTCATCAAGCGCCTGCACGGCTGGGCCGCCGGTACGACGCCCGAGGCCACGTCTCCGACGACCCCGGATGCGGGCGATCTCGCCCGGACCGGCTCGTCGGATTCGCTGGCACAGCCCCCCTCGGCCGGCGGGGCCGACGGTTCGGACGAGGACACCGAGTTGGCCTCCCTCAGCTCTGCCTTCTCCTTCAACCTGGCCGTCAACCTCAAGGGCATCGGCCTGAGCATTGTCAATGCCGTGCCGCGGGAGATCATGTACCTGACGGTGCAGGACCTGAAGCTGCAGTTCTCGGACTCCTCCCTGTCGCAGGCCATCGACCTGACCGTTGGCCAGATGCAAATCGATGACACCAGTCGCGGGTCCCTCTTCCCGGTGGTCTTCCACTCGACCATCACCAAGCAGCGTGCCGGTGATTCCGGGTCATCGGCCGGGTCGGTGGCCGAGGCCGAGCCCGGGGCCGTCATCACGGCCGGCGACGCGTCCTCCGCCAAGCCCCTGCTCTACCTGTCGACGCTGATTGTCAAGCAACCCGAGGCGCATGTCTTCGTGGCCAAGTCCCTGAGTGTCCTGCTGCAGGAGTGCGAGCTCAATTGCAGCGAGGTGTTCCTGATGCGCATGTTGGACTTCGTTTTCAGTGTGCTTCCCTCGAGTGGGAGTTCCTCTGCTCGGCTGCAGGTGGGCGCGCCGGTGCCGGGCCCTCGCCCGGGCGGCGGCCCGCAGCCGGAGGAGGGGCACTTTGCGGTGCTGCCGACCGGGGCCGCGATCCGGCCGCCGGCTCTGGAGGAGCCCGGCCTGGCCACCCTGCATGGCGCCTTCGGTCCGGTGGATCCGCGCCTGCCCCGGCCGCAGACGGTTCACCGGTCGGCCTCGACGCGGCTCTACTTCGGGGTGTTCGAGATCCAGCCGATCCAGATCAACCTGACGCTCATGCGGTCCCGGAATCCGGACGGCTTGGCCGAGGGTGCGGCCGAGGGCGGGGCCGGTGGCTCGGCCGCCGGCGGCGGCGAGGGCGGCCCCGATGGCGGCATCGGCTCCACGGGTGCCGGCGCCGGGGATGCCATTGTCCCGGCGGCCGATGATGCTCCCCAGCGGTCGGTCATGCAGGGCGCCCTGGTCTTCGGGTTCCTGAGCTCGGTGGTGGACCTGCTGTCCATGTCCCTCGGGAGCATTGACCGGGCGCCGATCCGGCTGAATTCGCTGGAGGTGTCGAACTTCGCGGCGGCCGACAGCCTCTTTGTGTCGCTGGTGACCCGGCACTATGCCACGCAGGTGATGCGCCAGTTGCTGATGCTGGTCGGGTCGATTGACATGCTCGGCAACCCGGTGGGCCTCTTCAACAGCCTGTCCTCCGGTGTGCAGGACTTCTTCTATGAGCCGGCCCAGGGCCTGACCCGCGGGTCGAAGGAGTTCCTGCTGGGCGCGGCGGCCGGCACTTCGTCCCTGCTCCGGTCCACCGGGTCCGGCGTGCTGGACAGCGCCACCAAGATCACCAGCTCCCTGAGCAAGGGCGTGGCCGAGGTGACCTTCGACAGTCGCTTCCAGCAGGATCGCGAGGTGACGCGCATCGCCGCCCGCAGCCAGGGCACCGTCAAGTCCACGCGCACCGGGCTGACCACCTTCGCGCGTGGGCTCGGCAGCGCCCTGACCGGGGTGGTGACCAAGCCCCTGGATGGGGCCAAGGAGGAGGGCCTCAAGGGCTTCCTCTCCGGCGTGGGCAAGGGCGTGGCCGGCGCCGTGACCAAGCCGGTGGTTGGCCTGCTGGATGGCGCGGCCATCAGTGCGTCGTGCCCTGCCCTTGGGGTGTTTCTTTCGCGTCGCCTTTGTCCCGCCGCCGCTTCCTTTGCTCGCCCTCTCTCCGTTTCTGTCTCTGTGCCTGATGTCTGACCTCTTTTTTTTTTTATTTTCGGTGCTTTGTGCTATTCCCTTGCCCTGTGTGGCGGCCGGCCTCCCGATGCGGCTGTCTTCTTCCTCTTTTCCGTTCTCCGCGGGCCCGCAGTCGCCAGTGGCATCCGCAATGATGTCAGCGGCTCGGTCGTCGTGGCGGAGCATGTTCGCATCCCGCGCTACATCGGCCCGGACCGCATCCTCCGGCCGTACTACCCCCACCATTCCTTCGGCAATCACCTGCTGACCACCATCGATGAGGGCCAGGTGCGTTCTTTCTTCTTCTTTTCTTTTTCCTCCCCCTCGGCCCGCCCGCCATATGCCCAAGGAGCATGCTTATCTGATGCTGTCGCTGCCGTCCTGGCGCCTT